CAAGGTCACAAACAGTTCGCAGAACGTGTTCGAAGTGGCTTGGCACCCAACGTTGCCGGTATTCCTCGTTGCCACATCCCCGCATGCCACGAACTTGGACGTCAAGACAAAGGGTACACAAGTTCGAGTCTTTCAGCCTGGTCGAGACCAGGATGGGAGGGTTATGTTCCAGGACTACCAAAAACTTGACTGTCCGGCTGAGGATATCAACGAGGTTACCATCAAGCCCAACAGCAGGTCGCACTCATACGTCACAGCAGCTTGCACTGATGGAAAGGTCTATGTTTGGGATACAGCCCGTGGCGATAAACCCATCCACTCTCTGAAGCATAAGGAGGCCCTAGACAAAGAGAACGAGGACATAGGCGTCAAGTTCACAGCGTGGGGAACTACCGCGGATCGCTTCTACACGGGAGGCGCTGATGGAAGGGTCAAAGTCTGGAACGTCAGGGATCTTCGCCAGCCCCTAGTTCGTGATTTGCTGGAGGCCCCCGGCTGCGTGACCAGCGGTGCCTTCTCACCGGACTTCTCGAAGCTCGTCATCGGAGATGCCACCGGACGTGTAATGCTGCTGTCACTGGACGAGGAGGACGAGCCACCTGCGAACTTCGTCCAACGTGGCTCTCGGCGCGTCCGCCGCCCATTAGCATTCAAGGCACACGATGAGCCACCCCCGCCTGGCTCGAATGCAGCGTCGGACTCAGGATCCGTGCGTGGAAATCACTGGCTATCCACGGGCCAGCTCACCCGACACCCGGATCCTACGATCGGCGTCATTCAGGGACCGTCTTACTCGGAACTTGGGCTTTACCGGAAGGAGTTTCACTTTGAAGAGGACCCCTCCCAACCCTTATTAGCAAAGAATGAAGAGGAGCAGCAAGAGAATAAGAAGATGTTCAGGCCGTCTTCGAGAACTTCTCGCATTCGGCCACCCACGGCATCCTCTTCCTCAACACTTCAAGTCAGGCACTATAACAATATAGCCAAAGACTTGGATTTGAACATGCTGGACGAGATGACCAAGTTGGACTTGGTAATGGATAACGTCAACCTTGACGACCCTGTTGAAGACCTAGGATTCGACTTTGACTGGGAGGAGGAGTAGCAAAGACCACTTCACACGCTTTTCGCATTAGCTGGGAGTTACGAGGCTAGCCACTGTGCTACTACAGGTTGCTTTATGGTGCTGGGACGGCCTAGGATGTAGACTAGTCTCATAACGAATATAAGAACTTACGAACTGAACGTCCTTTATTTTAATTCTTAAATATCTAACTGCTTCCTAGCTGCTTATTTTCTTCTGCTTAGTTTAAATCTTAGATATTGTTTCTTAGAGGTGACTTACTTTAAATAACTAATATTACTTAGCTTATTATTAATAAATTAGTTTTCTTTTCTTATTAGCTTATTTCATTCTAGTAGAAAACTAAAGTAGTATAGGCTTAATGAAGATCTCTTATGCTTAAGTAGTTTAAAAAAGATAAATATCTACTATAAGAACTTCTTAGTATACAGCTTTCTTTCTTACCAATACTATGCAAAAGGTGACGACATATCGTGTGGAATTAGGTGGCTAATCATACCTGCTCTGCATGCTACAACTAGGTAGCAAATGCCATGCTGTGTTCTTTAGCTTCTGGGCTGCTCTGCTTTACACACTTCATCTCTAGATGCCTAATGTTTTGTGTTTATTTGCACAGAATACCTGTGCAGAGAGCAGATGAGTCAATCCCCAACCTTTCAATCCATCAACCGTCGCCTGTTATGCTACCTAGACGCCTTCTGCTTTCAGGAGTTTTCACCTTACCCAAACGAGCCTTGAGCGTATTATTTTTGTGTTTCTTATATTCAGCATTAACTTACATTCTGTTATATATGGATTTCTGCGTCCTCAAAGCGTTGCTTCTGCAGAAAGCTGCTCTTAAGAAGCCGCTCAGGTCACCAGTCACGAGCAGCTCAGTATGTTAGTCGGAAATTACTTAAATAACCGTGCAATGGGTCTGTTGTTTTCTGCCCAGCAAGAAAAATTCTTTCTCTTGCGGGTGGATGGCCTTGAGCACGCCGAGGCGATTTGAACTGAGGACCTTCCAGACCCGGGCGCCCAGCGTGTATGAAAGACCTGATTCACCGCGAACAGGCTGTGCGATAGTCTATGTCTGTCATTGCTCTCATCGTATTCATATGAAATAAACTCACAAAAAGGAATACGATCTACTGTTTCTTGGGACTGATAGGCGCACACACCGATCGGGCAGGTGATGATACTTGGACAGCCCCTTGGGCAGATTGAGCAACCTTCACTTCTACACATACAATCTTGACCCCACATTGACATGTCACCCATTTCGCCTGCGAGAGTGACGACTTATTTCAGGGACTCTCAGCCATCATGTCTTCATCTACGCTCGTGCGCGTGTCTATATAACGCAGTGTGTTGGCAGAAGCACTCACATCGGAACCAATGAGACAGACGGAACTGACGACATGATCACACTTGCTGCATAAAATCAGTAGATTATAGTAAACCTTCTCCTATGATTTACTAAATGGTTCCTCATTCATGACGTCCAAGCATGACAACCCTCGGGTTACTACTTCAGCCCCTTCCCTGCTAGTGATATCCGTCCTGACATCATGAATGAATGTACGTGCGACGGATGACAGAGGCATATGGCAATGTCTTAAACGCTGATGTCTGCTTTGGTATCATAGTCTGCTGTTCGAATAGAGGGTATTACTAAAGAGACGTATTGTCTACTCTTCCGTCGCTTGTAAGACCGGAGACATTTCTCTAGGTCGTGATCTTCCAGAATCCTTAGCACAATTTGAAAATAAAGCGGCGCATTTAAGTTGCAGGAAGCTAACAGAGGGCCGTGTTACAGACAAGCCGTACTGAAGTGAAAGTACTACACGAGATATCTTGACAATCAACGGGCAAACAACACTAGACTTCTTGGGAGTATTTATAATAGTTCTTAGAATGGCTAGTGGACGGGTTAGACCAAGCAAATCCGTAGCCGCCCAGGACCCAGTACTTGAAGCTTCATGCTCTGTTCGAGGGTTGAATCCACAGGCTGAGCAAGTTCCATATGAGCGACACGTTAATGGTACTGGCTGAAGTGATGCATGGCAACGTTCGTCAGTACCTTCTGCTTATTCTCTGGAAATATTTGGAGGAAACAAAGAGACCTGCGCCTAAAGTCGTAGGTGAGCAATCAAATGTCTACAAGCATCAGCAAGACAACATCTGGTGATGAACCGCATCGCTTCAATCAATCAAGAAGCTCTTTTATAGCCGCTTGGGTTGCGTGCGGCTATGACTTGTTCCCATTTGAAGTACGTATTTATATAGGACACAAAGACAGTGAGACTGCCACAAATGCCATCGCCACGCTGAGTATCTGGTGTCCCCCGACGAAGTCATCTCATACCCATATCAACTTCTTCTAGATGGCTCTCTCTCTCCTACTGAGAATATAAAACATCTCGCAACATCCTTAAGGCACCATCTGCAGCAATCGACCGCACCAGGGTCTTTTTGGACTGTGTTCAACTGGGCCATGGTTCAAGCTTGAAAGCATGCACCATGCCTTGCGTGAAGACTTCTTTCATCCAAGGAAGCTAACGTCACCCAAAGACTTCTTTTTAACAATTATGTCATCCCACTGTTGTCCTTTATCTGCGCGGTCCGCAACCCCTTCCCTCGTATTCACCCTCTCACAACTCACCCCATTCGCCACTCAAGAATTACTCCTCCTGCCCTATAATCCAGCCTCAGAGGTGGTGATGCAACCTTGCAGTCTTTAGTGAACTAGAGGAGAAGTTTCCTTCACTTCAAACAACATTGTCCTGGTTCTTCTCTAACTTTGCGCGGGAGAGCAAAGTCCTCATACAAGAAGAAAGCATAGGTTGGGGCTGGGGGTGAGGTTCCTCGCCTGTCATGACATATGCATCCTTGTTGTCAGTTACCCCTTTGCGCACACTCACCCTCTTAGAACCCATGACGGTCGGGTTCAAAGAACCTTGCTCGGCTTCTCTGGGGAACTTCATACCAGGTGTCAGTACCGCAAAACCTCATGACCACATTACTGAGGGAAACGCGAAAGATACTTTCTTCTATTCTCGCAACACCACTCTAGACCTTATCTAATTCCATGTGTGAGAAATAAAAAATGAGAAACCGCCTGAGTTTCCTGTCTGCTATACTGACTTTCTAGGAATAAACATGGGACGATGAGGAGAGACTAAGATGACGGCAGACAGGCGCCACAAGGACGATAATAGATACGGCAATAAGGATAACAGAGCTGATGACGTGAATAACAGAGACAACGATAAGGATGATGACGACGACGAGGACAACAGAGCTAATGATAGGGACAACAGGGACAATGACGAGGACAATAGAGAACATTAGACAGCTGATTGCCTTCAGCAAACACATCATTTGTTGTAGGGAGCAAGACGAAGCAAGGAGCAACTCTTGGAATGCTCTCATCTAGCCTCAACTATTGACAACTTCACAGCTTGACTTCAAAATCCAAATGGGTAAGAATAATGCCTTTCTGTCATGATTGATTCCGATGCAGAAATCGCTTCCTGTAGACATACAGTTTTATGTACAGACGCTCACACACACACTAATAGAGAGACCACTGAAAAAGAAAATGACACTCCTGAACCGATACACATGTACTCTCTCCTCTCTTCCCGCGGCTATGATGCAAACCTCGCGTCTTCGTTCTGAAACGCTCCTCTTGATCTTGAATTCTTCTCGTCTCTCGCCTCGGCTCGATGTCCTCGTTTTCCCCCTCCACATGTCCACAAGACATCACCTCTGGAAAAATAAATTCAAAAACACCTTGTGGCTCGACCTTTCCGTATCCAGTCCTTGGATTGGGGGGCCCTGCGGCCGCCGAGAAAGAGAAAAGAAATTGCCGCCATCTATATGCAAAAGTAACCATCTAAACTTCTTGATGCGCATGCGCGTGAAATCCATCTCAGTCGTCTTGGTTGACCGGAGCATATCTACCGCTGCCGCTGCTGCTCTGGTTCCGTGTGCGGCTGACGACCCTCGACACCCATCCGCTGATGGTGCTGCTGGCCTCGCCGTCCTGGCCCTTGCCGTCGGGGATGTCGGGCGGGTCGAGCGACAGCCCAGGAATGGCGTTCTGGGCTGTGAAGGCGGGTCGTCCGCGGTAAGAGCCGACCGGTGAGCCGGGCATAAGAGAGCCGGTCTCGGCCGCATGGACGGACGGGGTGCCGATGACCGTGCTCGCGTCGCCGAAGAGTGAGTCCATCTCCTCCAGACGGACTCCACAAGTCTCGGGGTAGATGAAGTACACTTCAGATCATTAGTGGGGATGCTTATTTTGCGGGTCACGATGATCAACTTACCCACGACGAAACTGACAGCGCAGAAGAAAGCGTGCACCAAGTACAATCTCCACTTGATGTAATCTTGCAGGATGGGTGTCAATTCTCCTACCAGCCAGTTGAAAGCCCAGTTGGTCGCGGTAGACAAACTGGCACCCTTGGAGCGAATGCTGAGAGGCAGGATCTCCGGGGGGTACAACCAGGGGATAGGGCCCCACGAGTAGCCGAATGCTGCGTTGTAGATCATGACAAAGATGACAACCAGGTTGGGCGTTGCGGGAATGTCCAGGTAGATCCAGTATGAAATCAAAGACAACGAAACCGACATGACGATTGCACCGCTGAGCAAGATAGGACGTCTGCCCCACCTGTCAACAAGGTACCACGGGGGAATAGTGGACAGGAAATAGGTGATTGAGTTGACACCGGCCATGAGCACAGCATTGCGCCCAACCCAGCCAGCGGACTCGAAAACCTTGGGAGCGTAATAACTGATGACGTTGATGCCGTTGAGCTGGGCAAGACCTTGGGCCGACATGGCGATGAACACACGGGTGCTATATCGTCGGAACATCTCGGCGTAGGTTCGCTCGCCTTCCTGGCGCTGGAGTAGGACGTTCATCTTGATCTCGCGGTACTCCTCGCGGGCCTTGGGGTTGTGGATATCACCCTTGCCATAGAGGTTGGCAATGACGACAATGCCCTCCTCGTCGTGGTCATTATCGAGAAGCCATCTGTTCACGTGTCAGGCAAGCAGCAAAGAGTCACATGAGACAGGATACCAACCTTGGAGACTCTACGATAACCAGGCTGCCGAGGCCGAGCAGAGCACCCATCACACACTGCATCAACAGAGGAATACGCCACGCCAAGTCACTTTCGATGAAGCTGCAGAAGTAGTCGACCCAGACAGAGGTGGCATAACCGATGATGTTGCCGGAGAACTCAATGCAGGCGAGCTTTCCACGGTTATGGGGAGGGGAGATCTCGGACTGGTAGACAGGCACAATGGTGGACAGGGCACCGACACCGAGACCGGCAACGATTCTACCCAGCAGCATCATGGGCATGCCGTTGGCGAATGTCTGGAAGGCACCGCCAATGAAGAAGATGATGGAGCCGTATAGAATCGTCTTGCGGCGGCCGATGATGTCTCCGACCTTACCAACAATGAGGGAGGAAATCAATGCACCAATCTCGAGAATGGCAACCATGGTGCCAATCTCGAGACTGGAGGGGTGATTGAAGTAGTTCAAGAAGTACGCGCCGCTGTGGAGCCCATGTGTTAGCGATAAACATCGACGGGGGAGGGTGAGCGGTAGGAGACGTACGTGATGATACCGGACATGACTCCCTGATCATAGCCGAACAGGAAGACGCCTAACGATACGAAGATACTCGTAAAGTAACTACAGCATGGTCAGCCATCGTGAAGCAAGGCGCGATAGGGGTGTTTTGGAGGGGGAGGACGCACATCAGCGCCTTGCCGGTAAGGCCGTGGATTGATTGACCGCCCGACATGATGAGGCCGATGACTCGCTCCGCGCGGGTCGGACGTGGTTGGGCGATGTCTGGGACTTGGATGGCCTCCTTATTAACGACTCCACGACGTGTTGGTGATCTATCGTGGCGGTTGGGAGAGTCGAGTTGGATGCGGACACGCTTCGGTTTTGTCTGCTTGTGGGAGGGATGCCTCTTGTGGACGCCGGCTAGCAGCTCGTCTTCGATGTCGCTGCCGAGCTGGAGGCGAAGAGGGTCTTCCTCGTGGTCGAGCTGCTCAGCAATGTCCCCCGTGTCGGTCCAGGAAGACTCGTCGGAGGCGGAGCGGGAGGAATCTTCAGATGACCGCTGGCCGTGATGGTGGTGTTTGTCGTATGAAGAATCAGTGTGGGTGAAGCGGTGGTCACGGTGTTGGTGGCCGTTGTCGTCCCGATCAGATGCAAGCAATGACGTCGATTGCTCGGTCTGGTCTGGGCGGGACTGCAGGGTCCGCAAGGGGATGTTGGACGGGAGTCTTCTGCTGTTTGAGGAGGGAATCTTGGGCGGTTGATGGGGCTGATTAGCAGCAGCACCCTTCCGCTCACGAGGAATTAAAAAGGTTGGGGGGGGGGGGGGAGGAAGGGGGGATAAAAAGAATGCGTCGAGTCTAAAAGACGGTCGACACGGACAGCGAGTAAGAGGCAGCAGGATGACGGATCAGTCAGGGTCTGTCTGCAGCAGCGGCGAGGAGCCGTATCGGCATCTACCTGGTGCTTGCTGGGTAGGTAGGTACTTAGGTAGTGTACAGCAGGGCAGGGTGCAATTGACCTGGTGAGGAGTGTGAGGTGAGAGAGAGCGTGCGTGCGTGCGACGTGCAGGCGGGCGGGCTGGCTGGCCGTAAACCGCTAGTATGTATGCAGTACAGCGAACTGGCACTCTCTGGGGATGATGATTGGGGATTGGAGGGGAAAAGATGGTTGGGCTGGAAGGGAGGGCCCAGGCCAGGCTGGAAAGATAGGCAGCGGGTGGCAGGGGAGTACAGAGTAAGGTAGAGAGGGCCGAGGAAGTGGAGGAGAGGAGGCCGAGAAGGCAGGCGGGATGGGGGACGGGATGCAGCTGGAGAGGACGACGGCGTCAGTCAGTGTCCCGGTCCGGCCTGGTTTGGGGGTGGATGCCGCTTGATGCTATGGATGCAACCTCCTGCACAGTGACACACAGTGATCCTTGGGAAACCACTGGAGAGCAGGGAAATGGCTGTTTCGGCCCACTTCAACTCGCTGGTGCAGTGTGCAGCACGACTGAGAGGTCTCCACTGTGGATCCACAGGTGTCTGTGTCTGCTGCTGTCTGCCTCACTCAGGTCAGGCAGGTTGCTTGTCGTCCAAAATGCGTGGTAAGAGACAAGTTATGCCTTCAGCTGTGTCTTCAGCTTGTTTTTCTTGTTTGCTTGTCTGGTATTAAACCCAAGACGTGGGCAATTGACACAGGACGGACACAACAGGGCTGGGCTGGGCTGGTCTGATATGACGAACGCAACTGAACAGAAGAAGCCCGGTCTGGTCTTCTTTGCGTCGTCTCGTCTGTATTGCTGGGCCTTTTTTAGCCTTCCAAAGCAGGAATTCAGGTTCCCAGCTGTTGTTGTCTGATGCTGGGCCGCGCTGGGGCACAGGTATTCTCGTACCTTTGGGTAAAGCGCACGACTCTGACTGGACAGCTCAATTGGGGATTTGGGGGAAAACTGGCCGGGGGGTCTGGTCTGCAGATACCGATACCAAGCAGATGACCAGATGCCAACCTTTTTTTTTTTTTTTTTTTTTTTTTTGGTTCGAAAGCCTGTCTGTCCAAGGGTTGCAGCGGCAGCGGCAGCGGCAACAGCACGAAGCAACACGCTGAAAAAGTACAGGCGCCGTTGTACTTCTAAGAATGGAAGGCGAGTCCACCTGATCCTGCCTTACGCAACGGTGCAGGAGCCGATGGGGATTCGGGGGCGGGAGAGAGAGGGAGAAATGGAGATGGAGATGCAAAAGTCTCGTTTCTGCTGCCTCGCTGTCTCTCCGTTTGGACCGTCTTTCCCTAAACCTGCTGGTTTTCGGGTCGTTCCCTGCGCTTGGCGTCTAGCGTCTCTGAGGCAATCTGTCCAGTAGCGCAGATCTACCGACCTATGCCTTGGCACAAGGGAATTGAAAGAGAGAGAGGGAAAAGCCCCCGTTCGTCGACGAGACGAGTGAGCGAGCAGCGATAACAGCAGCCACGCGCAAAAAAAGGGCGATGACGAAGTTGAACGGAGCTAGACAGGCCCGGTACGAGGCAAACGGTAGCGCGCCGACACCGTCGCCGTCTCGCTGGATCTGCTGGCGTCGCAGCGGTACGTCTTGAATACCGAACAGAACAGATGATGGGGGAAATGGTGGTCAATGGCAATTGCAGGCATAAAACGAGAGGGTCAAGACGTCGGTCATGTGCTCTTTTTTTTCGAGGCGGCGAGTCGGGGATGTATGGCCAAAGGAGTGTCAGATGGTCGGAATGGTTGAAGGTGGTTGACTTGGGAGCCTCCCTCGGGTGCAGCACGAGACCTCCTTTTCTTTGCCTTTCGGCTTCAGAGTTAACAGATGTTCCCTTCCCTCTTCCCCTGAAATGAGGATTATCCGAGCCTGGCGCAGGGGGTAACGAGAGCTGAGGGCGGGACACCGGGACTCTGCGACTCTTGGGACAGCTGGGATCTGGGTGCCGGACGGGACGGCGTAGCCAATCTGCCAACGCAATCAAGAGATGAGGCCGTAAGAGATTGGCGGTGCAAATCCATAGGTAGGCACGGTAAGGTAGGTACTGATTACCTCACATTCAGCACACAGAAACACCCGCCTACCTAACTGATGGGAGCCAAGGTATCCGTAAGATAGTAGGTGCTCCGCCAGTGTGCTACGCGTCCCCCGTCTCGTCTCTCATCTCGTCCAATCTGCCTCAGCCCACTCGTCTCCAGATTCACAATCCCTCCACTCCCTTCCCACTCACTTTCCAACCCGCCATGTCCATGGCGCCCCCGACCGCCCGTCCGCCGCCGCCGCACGCCAACCACACGCTACATTTCCTAGGTAGCTTGGCAGCCAACCTCAACTTTACGTGCCGCAGCATCATTATCTAATTATGTGAGGCCCCCAAACTTCCAAATAGGCTGACCACGCACGTGAAACCAAATGCTGACTCGATTTGTGGGTAGGTCCAGTTATTTCCCATCGACCCGAGGGAAAGGATCAACCGCCGTTTTCCAGTTGCAGTCGGCCTTTCGGGCCATCTGCCTCCAAGGAATTCCTGTGGCCGATGACAACCGCCCATGCATGTTTTCTGCCTGCGGTAGGTGAGGTATGCCAATTGACATTTCGCCTCCGTTTGAACCAATTAATCTTTGAGGTAACCGCAAAGCTTGAGAACACCCTCAGACGAAGATCATTCGCGGCCCGATCGTGGCGGATCGTCTCTGAATTTCGCCGGTGCGGCTCGCACATGCTAAAGTCAATTGACGATGGACATTTCATGCGTCGCCCGTCCCCGTTCCCGTCCACCCCGCCCGCCGTTCAGCACAGGCGTTTCCAGCGTCTTCCAACGGTCGCTGTGGCGAAGCACACGGCCCCGTTTCGACGACGACGATGCCGAAGCGCTTCGCCGTGGCGGACCCGCAACGGTCGGTTGCCCGCTTCCGACCTTCGACGTCATTTCTCTCAATCCCAGCGTCCTATTTTCGGGATCATCCCTCTCTGCGCTCCAAAAATTCCAGCACGTTGTCGCTGTTGCACATTGAGGGTTTATCCTGCAACCGCCGCCTTACCCCAGACAATGCAACCAACTTCCAGATCTTGGTATTCGTTGTCTCTCGCACTTTTTTCTCTTCCGACCATCAACCGCGATAGCCTCGATATTTTGACAACTCATCATTCATTCGTGCACTGTACACAAACCTGGACCCTGAAATTATGGCTGTCATTTTGCCGGAATCTGGCTCCACCCAACGGTCCACCTGATTCAGATTCCTGCGGGCATCGTTCGCAATCACCGTCAATCGTGGGCTGGTGGCCATACGCAGGCTTGAGAGCTGCATCGGAGCGGGGTATCGTCCAGAAAATGGTTCCCTCTCCCCGCGTCTGGTGCTCACGAGTTGTATCCCGACATGCAACTATTCTGCTTTCGTGTGGAGGGGAAATTCATACTTTTGACTAAGAATTGAAGAGCGAAACGTCCCGGTCTAGCTTGTAAAGTGGACGACGTGGGGGTTTGTTACCTAAGTACCCGAGGTGCAACATAAGCAAAGGGTATCGACTGCCTTTCCAGCGAAATAATTGTATTACAGGTACGGAGCATACACCGGCCAACGGTACAGAGCAGGGCGTCGCGGACAGTCATTTGCCAATTGCACCCAGCGCGGAGCGCTATCGTGACCGGATGCGCGTCTCAGATATCACGGCCGACGCGCTATGCGTTGCACAACAGCGTCCGCCTGCCATGTCCCTTCTTTCAGACGTCATCAAAGACATTCAAAACAAAAACAACCTTGACCTTCTGGATAAGGACCCTTCACCGCAAGTCAAGTTGCATGGGCCAAATCCAGGGTTGTGGGTCTGGTGGCGGGGATCCCTTCCAAGCGCAGGCATCGTGAGGTTGTGGAGTTTACTGACACAGCCAGCCAGCAAAAGCCAAAGGAGCATACAACAACGGCCCCGGACTACACCCGCCCGAACACTACTTCGTCCGTCGCTGACATCTTCTAGACGGAGCGAAGAAGGCCTCTCGGTTTGGTGATGGCTTCAATAACCTTAAGGGGCAGGCATCGCGCCTCCGAGATGGACGGAGTGGAATATGTAATAATCCCGACTTAGATCCCTCAATTGACACCTGACACCACCGAGGTTTTCACTCCTGACAGGTGACAATTTCAGCGACTCTCACGCCCAGATTGACTTCACCAACAATGAGCGAATCAAGATCGTTAACAGGCCTAGCTGTATGAGTGTTTCAATTTTATCATGTTCAATTGTTTATTTGTATCCTCAAAGCATGAGTGTTCGACTCGCCTCCGAGACTAACATCTCTAGTGTGACTACTGTCGGGTGAAAAAACTCAAGGTTCGTATATATCCTAGGAGCAACACCAAACCTCTCCAACAGAACAGGGTCTGACATTTTCTGCAGTGTTCCAAAGAGAAACCCAGATGCGGTGCCTGTATCCAGAACGCAAAATCATGTCATTACAGCGGAAGAGTCCAACGATCGCCTCTCACTCGCGCGTGAGCCTCTGCCATCCCACCCCTTTCTGGCCCTGGCTGGCTCGCTAACACCAGATCCCAAGTTACTTGACGAGCGTGGAGAGCCGTCTCGCCAGCTTAGAGCACGTCTTCAAGCAAATGCTTCCAGATGTCGACATTGATCGAGCCCTTTCTGCAGATAGCCGCAGGCGGGAGGCCTCTGAGCCGCCAGCACCACACTCCCCACTACCAAACACAACGACATCCAGCGGCGATGGTAACGCCATGACGGAAGCCATGCCGGATGAGTCTGATGGCTTTGATTGGCAAGAAGATATTAATGCTCTTGCGGACGGAATGGCATCACTGTCTGTCGAGCCCAGAGGCGCAGGATACCTAGGTGAGCAAGGCCCAACGAGCGAGTGTGGGTTGTGCAGTAGGGCTAACGCAGATTCAGGCTCAACCGCAGGCGTGTTTTTCCTTCGCTCGCTGCTGGCTCTGACTGGGCACACGAAACCGCTCCTCGAGAACACGCCCAGAGCAGACGAACGCTTCAGCGCCATTGCGGCCTCCTCCCAACTGTCCGAGGTGATCGCCTCCAGGCAGGTTATCGATCGGCTCATCGAAAGCTATTTCTCGATATACCACCGCGCATATCCGTTTGTCCACGAGCCTACCTTCAGAGCTCAGCTACACGAGGTCATTCCGCGGCCGCAACGGCGGTCATGGCTCATGCTGCTCCACACCATACTTGCACTGGGCGCTTGGTGCCTCGACGACCCCCAGGGCGAGCTGGATGATGATCTCTACCACCATGCCCTATCCTTCGGCGAAGACGAGTCTCTGTTCGAAAGCGCCAACCTCGAGTTCGTGCAGGCTCTCGTTCTTCTGAGCAACCTCAGCCAGAAACGGAACAAACCCAATACAGGCTCTAATTTCTTAGGGCTCGCCACTCGCATGTCGCTCAGCTTGGGTCTTCACCGAGAGCTGCCAGGCTGGCGCATCAATAAGTTGCAGCGGGAGATGCGTCGGCGAGTTTGGTGGGGTCTCTACATATTTGACAGCGGCGCCTCAACCACCTTTGGGAGGCCAATTCTGCTTCCAGACACAGAAGCTATGGATGTTCGACCAGTACTTAACATTCACGATGTGGTATGTGCCCCTGGTGAGATGACGGCGCGGGCTGCGTGCGCTTCTGCTTCTGACATTCTATACAGAGTCTGACAAGCAGGACGACGGAACTGCCCGTAGAAGTTGACGAGCCGACGCTATACTCTGGTCTGAAGATGCAGAGCCACCTCCACGTCCACTCCAACTTCATTTCGAATCGATTGCTGTCGTCCTCGGGCATATCTCCCGAGAGCGCGCTCTCCATGGATACAACGCTGAGCAAGTGGTCCGAGTCGCTACCCGCGTATTTCCACTTGGATTATGACGGGCCCTCCGCCGGGCCCTTCTTTCTGTTCACAAAGTCACGGCTCTGGTGGCGGTTTTGGAATCTTGAAATCATTCTCTTTCGACCTTTAGTGCTGCAGCAAGCTGTCAGCAAGAGCAGAGGGAATACCCAAATCACTTTCAGCTCGTCTGATGAACGGTGCAGGAGCGTCGCCGTTCATGCCGCCAGCGCATCGATCGCATCCATCGACCACTACACCAAGCACGGGGACATCACTAGGCTGGTTACGTGGTATTCAATGTAAGTCACACTCTGTCACAAAGGTACAGTGTAGTCTTGTCCCTGAGACAGCTCTAATGCTTGTGGATGACAGTTTCTTCTTGTTCCATGCGTCCCTGGTGGTTGCACTCGTCATGATCGTTGATCCGGAGTCGCCCGATGCGCCCCAGTGGCAACTCCATCTCGACACAGTTCGCCATATCTTTCGCCATGTCTTCGCTAAGGACCAACTGGCCGCTCGCTGTGCCGCCATCCTCGACGAAATCCTAATGCCCGGCTACTTCACTGGGTCAGACGATTTGCTAACCGTTGATCCAGACTCCTGGTCGATGAACTTCTCCACGTGGCCAGCCGAACCAACCGACGACTTTTTCAGCTTTCTGGGCTGGCCCGGACCCGAAAATCTGGAAATGTAGAGAATTGGGCGTTTATCTGGCAGACAATACCTAGTTCAGAATGCGGATTGTAGGCTCAATCAGATTGGAGCGGATATGATCGCCATTCGGTACGTCGTTCTCGTCTACACGTAAAAGGGCCCGTTCCATCGTTTTCTCAATACCAGCACTCAAATGCCGGGAAGCGAGCCGTTGTCGTGCCACGTCTGTCGGCACGTCGACAAACCACCTACATTGCATATTAGTATGAACTGCGCCAGCAACCTGCCAGCGAGGGAGAGCCTACCTGTCGTCCACGAGATCGGCAATGCTGTTCCATGGATCCTCGTCGAGGAGCGTATAGTTGCCTTCGATTATGACCACCTTCGTCCGAGACGAGATGGCGATGGCGTCTGGAAGGGGATCCTTCACTGCATGGTCGAAGCTGGGAGCGCTAATCACGATCTGTGGCTCATCACATGTCGTCACCGGCACCGTTTTCAGTCGCCGTATAAGCTTCAAGAAGCCTCGTGCGTCAAAGGTAAATGGTGCACCACGTCGCTTGAGGGCCAAATCAGGGTCGTCGAAGGAGGAAAGAACGGCGCGCGGGTAATGAAATCCATCCTGTCATTGGCGTCATGGTGAGCACACAGAAAGTAGTCGTCAAGAAAGGCAGGTTGACGAACCATCGGAAGGATTGCAACATCGTCAACTCCGTGTCTCTTCAAATCTTCAAGGAGTGTGGCCGCGATGGTAGACTTGCCGGACCCTGGAACGCCAGCCAAAGCAATCAAAACGCGGCAAGACGGCCGAGAACGCCTCTGCTCAGCGAGGAGATTCTCTACGCGCTCGCGCAGTTTGGCGACTGTTCTCGTCTGGTTTTCATACATGGCGCTGGACTCGAGGCGAAGGGTCTCTAAGTAAGATGAGGCAGGCACGCGCTCAAACATGGCATGGGAACTTGGGTTGTCCCGTCAAATATTTCGGCATGGGAGATCTAATCATGGAGACTTGTATTGTGCTGGGACACCCACCCAACCGGCCGGCGGGAGTCCATCGTAGCGCATCGTTATGTTGCATTGCTATTACGCCGGATTCCTGCCGTCCGGGGGTTGAGGAGAGGTTCCATAGGCCGAACCATTGTTGGCCGACAAGTGGAGTAAACCCACGCTGCCTCCAGCAAATTCCATCAAGATCTGCGTCCGTCTACGGAGGATGAAGCCAGCCTCGCATTGGCCCGGACTGCAGCAGTCCGGAGCCACCTGCTCACCCACAATAACTGGGACTGCGATGGAGTCACCCCTCACTCGCGGACTGCATATAAGTACCCCGGAAAACTCTCCGCAAAATTCCCCGGATTCGACAACTCGTGTTAGATCGGCCGTTACTTTATCTCTTTAGCTGCAACCTCCCACGTTCAAATATGGCAGGTGAATTTGTCACTGCTGAGGGCGGCACGACCCCGGACGTCGTGATGCCCAAAAAGTCTGTTTGGCGGGTGCTTCGCGAAAACCCATACGTTTTTGGACTTTCAGCAGTAAGCGACTTCAGATATCTCCTGTGGCTGAAATACAAAAGTGCTGACACAACTTTCAGTTCGCGTCCCTTGGTGGGCTTCTCTTTGGCTATGATCAAGGAGTCGTGTCAGGCGTGATGACTATGGAGTCATTCGCGGCAACGTTCCCCCGCATTGCCATCGACAGCACATTCAAGGGCTGGTTCGTCTCGACCTTGCTGCTTTTTGCCTGGTTCGGCTCTCTCATCAACGGCCCGTTGGCCGACTGGCTTGGCAGAAAGGGCTCGATGCAGCTCGCCGTCGTCATCTTCATCCTTGGCGCCGCCTTCCAGACAGCGGCAAGCGACGTCCCGCTACTGTTTGCCGGTTGGTACCGAATTTGCCTGTCTGATCTATCCATATAGCTAATCAAGACCTAGGTCGTGCCATTGCGGGATTTGCTGTTGGCATGCTGACGATGATTGTCCCCATGTACATCTCCGAGCTGTCTGTGCCTGATATCCGTGGCACGCTCGTCGTCTTGCAGCAGCTCAGCATTACCCTGGGCATTCTTTTCAGCTACTGGCTAGAGTACGGTACCCAGTACATCGGCGGAACCCGGTGTGCTCCCGATATCCCCTACACCGGCGGCACCTCAGAGCTGCCCACGTTCGACCCCCGAAATGATGTCGGACCTGACGGATGCACTGGTCAATCCTCTGCCTCATGGAGGGTTCCATTTGGGCTTCAGATCTTTCCCGCACTGGTTCTGGGTCTCGGCATGGTCTTCTTCCCAGAGTCCCCGCGGTTCTACCTCATGCGTCACAAGGAGGACAAAGCCCTCGCAGCACTGGCCAAAGTACGCGGCTTGCATCCCGATACTGAGTCTCTTCGCGCCGAATACCTTGGAATTAAGGCCGAGGTACTCTTTGATGAGACACTGAATCGTGAGAGGTACCCCGGCAAGAAGGGTCTCTCACTCTTCATCGCACAACACCAAGCTCTGGTATCGTCATGGCCGGCATTTAGACGTCTAGGGTTAGGGTCAGGAATCATGTTTTTTCAACAATTTATTGGATGCAACGCGGTTATCTATTACGCTCCTACGATGTTTGCCCAGCTTGGCCTCTCTGGAAAGACATCTGGGTTGTTGGCAACGGGGATATACGGCATCGTGAACACGCTCTCAACTTTGCCCGCTCTCTTCCTCATTGACAAAGTGGGCCGCCGCCCTCTTCTCATGTGTGGGGCCGCTGGTACCTTCATTTCACTTGTCATTGTGGGCGGAATCATTGGCGGGTTCGGCGAGTCCCTTCGCACGAACAAGTCGGCAGGCTGGGCCGGCATTGCCTTCATCTACATCTACGATATCAACTTCTCTTATTCGTTTGCGCCCATCGGCTGGGTCTTGCCTTCTGAGATCTTCAACCTCGGCAACCGATCGAAAGCTATGTCTATCACCACGAGCGCAACTTGGATGTGCAACTTCATCATCGGACTCATCACTCCGGACATGCTCGAAAAAATTGGTTACGGGACCTACTTTTTCTTCGCCGCTTTCGCTCTCATCGCCTTCGTAATGACATACTTCTTCGTCCCCGAGACACGTGGAAAGAGCTTGGAAGAGATGGACTTGGTGTTCGGCGACACGGCGGCACACAAGGAGAAGACCAGGCTGCTCGAAATCGCGGCTTCCATGGGACTGACAGATGTGTTGTCGGACGAGAAGCTTGGCACAGACGTCAAGCACGAAGGTTGAGAGATGTACGTAATCTCACCTTGAAGAAAGGTCAATAATCTAGCTGGGCATACGTGATGTTCAGCTGTCACAATATGCTTATATACCCAGAAGCAGTTGGGGCAATAACCCGACCCAACGACTTACATAAACAATCACAACTATTAATGTTGTTTTAATCAATATGAAGCGGTATGAAGCAGCAAACTGCTCGTAATACTTACAAAAATGTCTTTCTGTTTACTTTTTGCCCCTTGGTGTATGTCGTTACAGGTTCGCATGGAGTTGTCGACGACCATCACCGAGACACTCGGCAACCTGGCGCGTCGCGTTCTTTCCCTGCTCAACAGCACCATCAATAAACCCCCTCCAACCATCTGCGCTGTCTGAACTAGCAAAGAAGACTCTCCCATGCGGCTTCTGAAGCTCTCGCAGATATCTGCTCATCGCATCCCCCTTCCAACAGCTCCACTGGCCACCAGCCATGGGGTCGTTCGACCAGTCGTGACTGATATACGCCGTGATCTCCACATCCGGCTTCACCGTGCGCTTGAACTCTTCCATCACCCTCGCGTGGTCCTGGAGGTTGGGGTACACTCCGCTCCGGAGCGCGGCCAGGCAGTAGGTCCCGTCTGCCCCCGTGCTCTTCGTGCCGTTGTGGTCGGAAAACGCCAGCAGGTAAGGGGTCGATCCGTCGGGCGCGGTTGTGGCGAACCAGCCGGGCTCGATCTTGGCGAGCCGGAAGTGGACCTTGGCTCCCTTGTTCTGGTGGCCGTAGTCTACGGCCTTGCGCCGCAGAGGGCTCAGGGGAGGGTCAAACGCGACTCGGCTCAGACAGTTGCTTGCGAGAAGTGGTTAGTTCAGCCTGAAGAAGATTGAGGCGATGGCCCGCTGCTGCCCACTTACAGAGGAATCGTCGAGACGACGAAGCCGGCGCTAAATACCCAGCCCTCTGCGGTAGTGATTCGCACGGCCGAGCTTGTCTGCTCGATCGCGGTGACGACTTGCCCAAACAAGAGATCCCCCGTGAACTCTCCCCGGATTGCTTAAGCAAAAGACGTCATGCCCCCGTTGCCGAGCTTGAAGAGACCGCTGAGGTCGTACGCTCCCGCCATCGAATGCCCCCCTAGAGCGTACCACCGGAGGACCTCCGTGAAGGAGGTATCAGCTGCATAGTTGCACCCGAACAAGTTCACGAGCGAACTGAAATAGTTCCTCTCCAGGTCCGTAATGTCGAGCCGGTCGAGCCGGTCCTGCACGGTCAAACCATCGTATTGCTTCCAAGGCGCGGGCTCCTGGAAGGGCTCGTGTGGGAAGGGCATCAGGCTTTGGCTCGTGTTGCCGTCAACACCGAAGAAGAGGGCAGCCACCCTCTCGGCCGTGGCCCAGTTCATCTCAGACGTCAATTGCTTGACCGTACCATTTCGAGGCTTGAAGAATGCCTTCGCGTCGGAGCAAGCCCCCGCGGAAGCCTTGAGGTTTCGATGAAGTCCGTACCGATGGAGTTCGTTGTAGACGTGCGGTTGGCACCTAAACTGCCTCAGTCGCTCCGCTTCCATAAATCCGCAAAAGAAAAAGGGGGTATGCCGATGCTAGTCACGTACCAGTGCACCCAGGTTCCGCCCATCTCAAACTCCTCGCCGAGGACGGATGCGGTCCAGGTTCGCCCGCCGATCCTGTCGCGCCCCTCAAGTAGCAACACGTTTACTCCTGGTTGCTTCGTCAGATCACGGGCTGCGACGAGGCCCGCAAAGCCTCCGCCAATGACGACGACGTCATAAGATTGCTTGATGTGACGAGAACCCGGCAGCACGGCTGCTGTTGGTAGTCCTTCAGTTGTGCCCTCAGGAGTCCAAAGATAACCCTCCTTGGACCGTGACATAGCGGGAAACGACATCATGTAGTTATATCGGGTACAGTTTACATGGAAAATGTGTGAAATAGACACGATTTATGGCAGCGAAAGCAATTTGGTTGACAACGTATTTAAACGTAGATGGTGTACAACGCCGTCAACCGACAGCTCGCCAGCCCGTTCTTCTAGGCATGTTGTGAGAAGTAGCTGCCCATCTTGGAAAATGTTGCCGGCACCTGGTGTCTTCCTCTTAACCCACCGGAAGCTGGTGACTCGTTCTCAACTCAGACTCGTTCCCTGGAAAGTAGAGCGGCATGGCAGGCGGCGTTCCGAAACTCGACGGAATGCCTCTCACCTTGAACTCATTGCCGACGAGGCTCGAAAGCGCCGATCCACCATTTGTACATTTTAGGATTATGGACTAATCAAAGAACGTTAGCAGATTTGCAAGGTAAGGAAGAGTATTCGTGGTGATAAGGAAATAGCGATGTGGATTTGGCTGGGCTGCGGAAAATTATGCGGAAACGGTCTATTCAAGTAAGAAACACCCGACTGGACGAGATCCTTTCGGAGACGGAATCTCAACCGGAACTCGACCGGAAGCCGGACACTCTCGTACGTGAAAAACTACCGTATCAGGAAGTTATTCACTTCACTCCTCGATGCCGGCGATAAGGCACCTCCCATGTCCTCCTCGTCGAAGACTAGGGTAACAGCAGCACCCGGTAGTATTCCTCCTCTTGTCAATAAGCTCTCAGTCACGAATATCGCTTAGTCAAGTTTAAACTACTATTGTTTGTCGACAAAAGAACACAGGAAGGAAGTAGAGATGCCGTTTAATCACATGGCAAATGTTCCTGTCTCGCAATTGTTACCAACCTTCGCCTTCTCTATATTGTCCCTCTAGCCACCTAAAGCTACTGTGAGAAGTTACAAGCATCATCAAACAAACATCGAAATGCCCGATCGCGTACCACCTCTCAACGCCGCGGCGGTACAATTCTCAAGTCCGCCGGGAGCACTCTCCACCGTCGGGGCCGAGCTGGGAATCTCCCAGGCGGTCTGTCTGCCCGCCAACGGGTCGATTGTGATCACATCCGGCCAGTGTGGTTTCCGCGAGGATCTCTCAATCTCGCCCCGCCTTGATGAGCAGATTGAAATGACACTCCTCAACGCTCAAAAGACGCTGCGAGCCGCTGGAGTCGACAACGGCCCAATGTCCGTGTACCAGATCATGCTCTACGCCCTTCAGATTGATGACGAACTGGTTCGGATATGGAGAGAGATGAAGAGGAAGTATATGGGCTCCCACGCGCCGGTGGAAACCGGTGTCACCGTTCCAGCGTTATATGGAGGGGCGAAGGTGGAAATGACTTTCTATGCCGTGGGAGGTCGAGGGTTTGGTCCAAGCCAAAGGCTGTAGTTTGACTTCGCAGAAAATGAGTACCGCTAGTTATTAAATGATTGAATTAGCGGCGGAGAACTGAAGCATTTCGTGAGTCCTTAGTATCTTTCAAGCCTCCGCATGACTAGATGGGAAAGAAACTCTTAGGCGATGAATTCGGATGATGTAGGGCACGGCACTGCATTTGAAATGTAGTATGATGTCCTTTGAGCAGTGTAGCTCCGAAGAAAAGAAGTGAAACACATCCGATACGGATGTGGCATATAAAATTTTAAGCATATATCTTCTACGAGCTGCCCTGGTGGTAGCCGCTGCTTTTCCTTGTAATCCCTCATTACCTGGATAGTGTTGGTTGGTTTTGTCTGTGCGAAGAACGAAGTCTCTTACAATGTTTAGTTCTACCTATACTCTATCACTATGTCCTGGAAACTGGCCATTCAAAGGTGTCAAGATCATCGGGAGCCGGAACTATTTTCTTCCCTTCAACGTGTAGTACAATACCCCGAAGACTGACCACCCGACCATGACCCCAGTTGAGTAGTTCATCGTTTCCCAGCTGACAGGTATTTGGCTAGGGAACGCGCTGAAAGCAATTGATAGCACCATGAACGCAATGGCAATCACGTTGAGAATGGGCCCAACACAGCCGCGCAATCTGAAAGGCCCGTACTCGGAAACGCTCAACTTCCTGCGGCCATTGAGAAGCATTCCGACGATGGGGAGAGCATATGATGTGTATGTACCGATGATTGCCATGGAAAGCACGGCATTGAAGGCGGTAGTGTTGCCCAAGTAGATGAAGCCAATGAGCATTTGCAATACCAATATAACTTAGATCGCATTTGCTGGAATCTGGCTCCGCTGTTCCACTCGTCCGATGAATTTCGAGTAAGGCACGGCCTCATCGCGAGCGAAAGCCCATAATGTTCTCGATGTTGATGTCAACGCAGCGCAGCAAGCGGCTCCGGCTAGAACAATGAGCAGTAGCGACATCGTCGTCGCGCCTGCCGCGGACTGAGTTGCATCAAGGTAAATCTGCATCACCGGAAAACCAAGAGGTGTGGCGAGAACACCCTCCAGTTTGCTCGTGGAGAAAAGCAGTATGATGGCATACGCAAGCCCCATGAGCCCATTGAGTACGATGCTTCCAATTATCGCAAGGGGCACGTTCCGGGCAGCGTCGGGCAGTTCCTCTGCAAGGTGGGAAGCAGCGTCGTACCCGAGGAATGGGTACACCGTGCTGATCAAGCCGACGAGCCAGGCAACGCCGTCGCTCGACCAGCCGGTTTCGTTGTAGACCTCGGTGAAGACGAAGGAAGCGCTGTTCTTTTCGGACATGACTGACAGGACGACAAGTATGGCCACAAAGCCCACAACATGCAGTACGCCTGTTTCATAGAGCCAAACGTCAGAGCGTTGAATGTCTCAATAGTCATGGAGCCGCCGACTTGCCTGAGATGAGGTTGGCAGTAGGCAGAAGCTTGCTGCCCCACAGATTCATAACCGTTCCGTAGAACAGAAATACCCAGTATAGTAGAAGAGCCTGCCATCGGGTAGATCTGTAACTTTGGGAGTTCATGGTGATGAGTGCCTGGGTCATTAGCCCGCAGGCAAAGGCAATGGACGCTGTTAGAACGATCTGTCCTCCGATGGTGATCCAGCCGGTCATCCAGGCTATGAACTTTCTCCCTCGCACCGGATATAATGCAGTGACCCAGTGGTACTGTCCTGCGGTGAAGGTCAGGGGATATTGCTTCCGCGATTGTTCATTTGTAATTGGGAACTCACCGCCGGCGGTAGGATAGATGGACGCGATTTCACCGAGAGATAACCCAATCGCGATATTACATAGAAAGGTGAAGATGCTAGAAGCGAAATCAGCGTAAGCTTAGACAGCGTGATAGAATGGACGGCATACTAGTTGTACAGAAGGCATGGCGCCCCTCCACATGTCAACGCCTGAGCGATGACACTGGAACATCCCTCCCAAGTGCCCATCAAGCACAAACAAAGAGCTATCAGCGAAGGGAGGGAAAACAAGCGGTCCAGTTGGCTTTCGAACCCCAGCTGATCTAGACGTTCGTCATCAATATTGGTAGCCTTTTCTGGTACCCTGGGCGAGGTTGCCCGGACGAGACTGTCCCCATCATGTCGTTTATCTGTCTTCATATGGACTGAAAACCACAGCAACAAGAACTGGCTGCGCCCAAAGAGTATTTCGCGGAGACAGGGACTTGCTAAAGCTCAGGAATCTATCCAAGCTTTAAATATGTGTGTCTTCAAAGGGCGATTGACCACAACACTCGTGTTGTGTCTTATCCCTGCTTTTCCTGTAAATAGTCACAGACATAAGTTCCTTTCCTGATCAGATTAACCTCAGTTCGGTGCAAAGTAAGACTCAGATAACGTTCCTCCTGAGCTCTGCTGCATCGATGCCTTTCTCTCCTGCCAAGCTATTAGCAGTGATGCCTGGACCTTCTTATCGCAGCAGGATAGGAGGAACGACGATCGGGAATTGGCAGCTGGTTGTATTATCTTAGAATGGAAATAACACGCGATTGAAAAGCTACATATTGTGTACATGCAATTCACGGCAGCGGAATGAACCTGATATCATCGGAAAGACCCTCGGAAGGTGGGGCCATCTGCATCCTACCCCATGCATGAGTTTCCAATCGATGCAAATGCAGTTCCGTTGGTCGGATTATCTGATGATGCTGCTGCTTTAGTAAATAGAGGGTGTATACTTCTTCTGATGACCCGGCTACTCCAGGTATGTTGAGCCATCAGATCACACACAATCATGCTACGCCTCAGAAGAATTTCACGGACAAGTCCCTCCAGCCGCAGAGTTCTGGCAAGCGAAGGTCGGCGATGTTTCGCAACAAACACAAATGTTCCGTTGATCATCGACGGCAGGGACATCGAAACCCAAACTCGATTTGATGTGACAAGCCCCTCAACTGGGACAAAGATCTGGTCGTACACTTGTGCTACGAAACAACATGTCAGAGACGCAATTCGAAGTGCTCAGCATGCGTTTCCTTGCTGGTCTCAAACTAAGGCATCACACCGTCGAGATATTTTTCTCAATGCTGCGAACATCATGGATAGTAGGAGAAATGAGCTGGGAGATTACATGCATCATGAGATTGGTGCTGGGCAAGATTATCAGGATTTCATTCTAGGCCTGGCCATCGAAGGATTCAAGGACACAGCCGGAAGAATTTCGGGAGCAGTCTCAGGCGTTCTACCAGAATCTAACCTCCAAGGAATGAAAGCCATGGTATGCAAAAGGCCGTATGGCGTTAATGTCGGAATCGCTCCATGGCAAGTTGATTCTGTTCGATGACTCCATCCCCTGCTGACTTGACGGTCTCTAGGAACGCTCCATATCATCTGGGGTTGAGATCCGTTCTTTTTGCCTTGGCAACAGGAAATACAGCCATTTTGAAGGGAGCAGAACTGTCGCCTAGATGTTACTGGGCTATTGCCGACGTCTTTCGCGAGGCTGGTCTTCCTGAGGGCTGCTTGAATCTCATCTTTCACGCACCCTCGGATGCGCCAGCTATCATTGACGAGCTAGTCAGTCATCCGGATGTCAAAAAAGTCAACTTCACAGGAAGTAGTCAAGTTGGGAGCATCATTGCGGAGATGGCTGGCAGACATCTCAAGCCTGTCTTAATGGAGCTCGGAGGCAAAGCGAGTGCCATCGTGTTGCCAGACGCAGACCTTGACAACGCTGCGCTACATTGCGCAAAAGGTGCCTTTATGAATGTGAGTACTCAATATCTCACGTAAATCGGGAATTGGTCACTAAGAGGTGGGAACTTAGGCGGGTCAAATTTGCATGTCAACTGAGCGTATCATTGTTCACGAGTCCATAGCGGACGACTTCCTTAAGGCGCTCGTTGTTACGACCAGAGATCATTTCGGATCTAAAGACTCGACTCCTGTGCTCGTCACAGCGGCGTCGGCGCGTCGAAATCGGGATCTTGTTGCGGATGCAATGTCGAAGGGGGCAACCTCCATGACGCCGAAAGAGCAGCTCGGCGGACTGCCCGAAACTCGAATGGCGCCGATGTTGCTGAAAGATCTAAACAAGAAAATGACATTATATCAGACGGAATCATTCGGTCCTAGTGTGTCTTTTTTTACCTTCAAGTCCGAAGACGAGGCAGTGAGTCTTGCCAACGACACAAACTACGGCCTCAGTGCGTCCGTCTTCACCAGAGACCTTGGAACTGCATTTCGCATTGGAGAGTCCCTAGAGTCTGGTGCGGTTCACATAAACTCAATGACCGTTCATGATGAGTATTCGTTACCTCATGGCGGAGTCAAGCAGAGTGGCTTTGGTCGCTTCAATGGATATCAAGGGCTGGATGAGTTTATGTACTACAAGACTATCACTTGGATGGAGTGATCAGTCTCACGCGGTCTATCATGAAAGACATCCTCTTACCGCTAATTAGCGTTTGGAGTCAAGACAAAGCAGAACTGGTCTCTGCGTATATTGTATAAGGCTTTGGCGCGAAGTATACGTCTGTAGGCTTTTACCGCTTTCCGTGTCTATGAGGCAATAAGTTGCCCGCGTACAAGGGCAGAGTTCGTTCAAGCTTGCACCGAAAAGAATGACTTCTGTATGGCTTGCCAACCCCATCCATGGGTCAATAAGCAGCATGTATCCGAATACGCGTATGGCTTCAAATGCCGACATATACTCGTAAGTTCCCGTGTCAATCACTTTTACCCCGCATTTTCATCTCCAGATTTACACCATAATCAAATGTCGAGCAACTGTGAATGCGAAAGCGAACCGGTTTGGTGGCTGAGCGAGGCATCATTGCTTCTCGGAGCAGACTATGACGAGACACAAACCGCAGTCGACCTCTGAGAAGCGCACCAAGGCGGAGCCAGCTCTTCTCATCGTACGGCATGATGAATGTAACCTTGAGCTGTGGTCAATGAAAGCAGCTAGCTGTACGCGGATATTCTTCCTGGCTTTTCGATCCACGGTCAAGAATGGCCGTCTTGAACATGGAGAGAAGAGAAAAATTGCATCATGCGAGGGAAAGACTCAGTAAAACCTCCCAAGTATAAGTGTTCGCCATCTGCAATCCCACAAAAATGATTTCTTGGAACAAAAGCCTCTTCACCTATCTCCTCATCGGCAATATTTCGCCGTGATATCGTTGAAATGAGGCCTCATCTCTTCAGCTGGCTTGCTCTCTTGCTGCTCCCCTGGGCCCAAGCCTTGATCACCCGAGCAAACACCACGGCCCCAAGTCAAGATGTAGTGATGTGGGACAACCACTCCCTATTCATCAATGGCGAAAGAATTATCATCATGTCTGGGGAGTTCCATCCTTGGCGCCTCCCCTCTCCAGGCCTATGGCTCGACGTCTTCCAAAAAATCAAAGCTCTGGGTTACAATGGAGTTTCCTTCTATGTCAACTGGGCCCTGGTCGAAGGTCATCCTGGAGAGGTTCGCATGGATGGAATCTTTGACCTCCAGCCCTTCATAGACGCCGCCGTCGAAGCAGGGCTCTATCTCATTGCTAGGCCCGGGCCATATGTCAACTCGGAACTGTCTGGCGGCGGATTCCCTGGCTGGCTCCAACGAAACAAGAGCGAGTTGAGATCCATGGCGCCTGACTATCTTAACGCTACTTCTACCTATGTTTCCAAGGTTTTGGAAGTCATTTCTGCAGCTCAGATCACGAAAGGGGGCCCTGTCATATTGGTCCAGCCCGAGAACGAGTACAGCTTGGCAAACATACCGAACATCGCAGAGTCAAACAAAGTTCTCGACCCAAAATACATGGAATTGATGAAGAAGCAGTTCCGGGAGAATGGTATTGAACTACCCCTGATCAGTAACGACGCCTTCCCTTTGGGAAACTGGGCACCCGGATCTGGCGAGGGGGAATTGGATATCTATGCTCACGACACATACCCCCTTTACGGCGGATGTGAGTCTGCCAATGTGCGAGATACTAGACTACAAAGCTGACTTACTTCCCAGGTGGTGACCCAGCGAACTGGACATCTCTAACCCCATTGAGTCTTACATATACCTACCACAACCATCTCCAACAAAGCCCGAGTACCCCGTACTCGATATTGGAGTACCAAGGCGGCGCACCCGACCCTTGGTAGGTCCAACTCATCGCTGCCATTTTACAATCGGTAGCACTGCTAAAAAGACACAGGGGTGGCGTTGGGCTCGACAATTGTGCAGCGCAGATCAACCAAGAATTCGCCCGTGTCTTCCTCAAAGACCTCATTGGTCGATCCATAAAGATCCTCAACCTCTACATGGTAAGAAATTAACCTTAGTCCATTACCTTCAAAATGGATCTGACAGACCAAATAGACATTCGGCGGTACAAATTGGGGCAATATGGGCCACCCAGAGGGATACACCTCCTATGACCATGGCGCCTCTATCCGCGAGAACCGCGGCATTGATCGCGAAAAGTACAGCGAAGCGAAGCTTCAGGCACACTGGCTGCATGTATCCAAGGCCTACTTGACTTCCGTACCCGAAAACGCTACGACGACGGAATTTGTCAGCACACCTGAATTACAAGTCGTCCCAGTGTCAAGCAACGACACGCGATTCTATGTGCTCCGTCATGTTCAGTACGACACATTCGAGAGGACGGGTTACACGCTCACTGTGCCCACGACTTACGGTAATGTGACGATTCCAATGCTGGGCGGTGAGCTGTCCCTCCACGGGCGCGACTCAAAGATCCACGTCACGGATTACGACGTCGGCGGTGTCAATCTGGTGTACTCTTCTGGTGAAATCTTTACGTGGAAGAAGTATCAAGACAGGAGACTGCTGATTCTATACGGCGGAGACGGCGAAGAACATGAGTTTGCCGTACCGTCGTCGTTGGGTGAGCCGACCTTCGAGGACGGGGTCAATGTGACAAGCTGCGAGATTGACCGACTGCGTATTGTTCACTGGAAAGTCCAGGAATCTCGGCAAGTTGTATACTTTGAGGGTCTGGAGGTTCATCTTCTTTGGAGAAACGACGCTTATAAGCATTGGGTTGTTGATCTCCCCGACCCGGCGACGGGGTTCGTCTCGCCAAGAGAGGGTGAAGCTTCTGTCATCTTCAGAGGACCATATCTCGTGCGCAACGCAACGTTCTCCAACAACACTCTGCATCTGACTGGAGACCTTAACGAGACCACGACGCTGGAGGTCCTCGGCGACGTCCCGGAGAACGCCTGTCTTACCTTCAACGGCCGGACCATTGAGCCTCTTCGACGAACTGGTGGACGCATTGAGGCCGACATCTCCTTCCACACACCAGACCTTGCACTCCCGGACCTTCAGTCCCTGAAATGGCATTCCATCAACTCTCTCCCTGAGATCCAACCCGACTATGATGATTCCGCCTGGACACCAGCATCCCTGACCGAGTCCAACAACCCACGAAATCTCACAACCCCAACGTCTCTCTACTGCAGTGACTACGGCTACCACGGCGGCTCCCTCATATACCGCGGTCACTTCACCGCTTCCGGCGCCGAGTCCCTCTTCAACATCACCACCTCCGGCGGGCAAGCATATGGACATTCGGTCTGGCTCGACAGCACCTTTCTCGGCTCGTTCAAAGGGGACCCTCACGTATCCAACTTTACCCAAGCATTCCAACTTCAACCCCTCGATGCAAGAAGCGATCACATCTTGACTGTGGTGATTGATCACATGGGTATGCCGATGAACTTCTACGTTCACTCTGAGGCGATGAAAACGCCTCGCGGGATCCTCGACTACTCTCTCGCCGGACACCAGCAGTCTGACATCAAATGGAAGTTGACCGGAAACTTTGGAGGCGAGGGGTATGTTGACAAGACGCGAGGGCCCCTGAATGAGGGAGCGATGTATGCTGAGCGGCAGGGGTACCATCTCCCCGGCGCACCGTCGTCGAACTGGACGGTTGCGTCCCCCTTGGAGGGTATCACGAGCGCGGGCATTCAATTCTATACGACGACATTTGACTTGGATATGCCGGCTGGGTACGATATTCCGCTTAGCTTTGTGTTCGAGAACGTGACGAACGAGGGGAAGCCGGCGATCTTCCGAGCGCAGCTGTTTGTGAACGGGTATCAATTTGGTGAATACGGTAAGATCATGGATTTTACAACCTCCGCATCTTGTGGGAATCTGGGATAACTAACTTGCTGTGTAGTCAACCATCTCGGCCCGCAGACCCGGTTTCCCGTTCCTGAGGGGATATTGAACTACAATGGCGTGAACACGGTTGCAATCACCTTGTGGGCATTCGAAGCGACGGGAGCTCGCCTTCAGGGCCTCCAAATTTCAGCGGACCATGTCATTCAGTCGGGCTATCGGAAGCCGGGCCAGACGAAACAGCCAGGCTGGGAGACGAGACCTGGGGCTTATTGATGACCAGGTCCTGGCGCGAGGGCTTCAAAAACAATTCCCGGGACAATGGACGTCGTTACTTTGATTCTTGAATTTATTAAAACAGAGGTGATTTTTCTTCATGAGATCGGATCCTAATTGTTGTACATTATCTGGCCGCGAATCCACCTTCTTTTGGGCGGTCGCTGACGCAGTTCTCTTGTCTTCTCGTCTATAACCCTTTTGTCGTTGAAGTCTTTGCCGCAACCGACCGTTGCAACCGACCGTTTTTTTCAGGCTCAACCCCAGACTCCTCGTCTATCCATCAAACGCCGTGCCTCGTCAAGGCTCTTTGTATGTAGTTTAGTGTTATTTATTTAAGCATGTTGTCGAAAGCAGGGATAAGGGTCTGCGCCAGCCAGAAGGAGAAGACCAGCTTGGGACCAGTCATGAGGAGCTAGAGAGGCAAGCTATTAGCAGATGCACCACGTCAGGCATGAACGGAGTTTCTGTTTACCTTGGGGACCAATCCCTTGAAGAAGGCGGTAGCACCCTCGTTCTTCATCATGTTAGAGATGATCCTGAAGCCGGTCTCGGGGTTCTCGAAGTTGCGGTTCTGGATACGGGTCTTGATGACATCGAGGGGAGCGGAGACGAGGAGAGATGCGGAGGCACCGGCGATGGAGGCGATGAAGTTCTGGAACCACGAGGCCTTGTTGTAGTCGCTCAGGCCGAACATGTACTCCTTGGTGAAGGCGGAACCACCGAACAGCTGTTGTTGCGATTAGCCATGTGCCTTGATCATGCTAGGTTTGTGTTGTACATACCGCGAAGGAGCCAGGAGCGTTACGGGCGGCAGTCCAGCCCCATCCTCTGTACAGGCCGAAGCCCTCGTCGGCGACGATCTTGAGGACACCACGGCCGCGGAAGGCCTCGGGGTTGGTCTGTCTCTTGATCTTCAGGACGTCCAAGGGAAGGAGGACGATCTCTCCAATTCCGATCAAACTGTTGCCGTCGGCCGTCAGTCGCCAAACTTCAATTGCGCAATGGTGGGGTATCTGTCGACTCACCTGCCAGCGGTGGAGTGCATGATGGCCTTGCCAGTCTTCTTGCCGAAGGCATTCTCAAAGTCCTTTCCGTAGTGCTGGTTCAGGAAGTCCCTGGCGACGGGCTGACCGCCGTACTTGTATATTCTTTGCAGAACCTTGTAGCCGGCGGCGTAGCCCAGACCGGGGAAAAGCGACACGAACTTGCGACCGAGCGGGGCAGAGGCCTTGTCCTTGAAGATGACGGCGTTGAGCTGGTCCATACCAGAAACCTTGAGACGAATGCTTGTGTCAGCTTTGCGGCCTCAACGTCCAGTTCGGGGATCCTTCGTTGTGCTGGTGTACCTTGGTCTGGTTGCTCATCAAGCGCTTCGCGATGGTGTCGACCTAGAGCTCCATGTTAGTTCCCCATCCATCATGATTTCTGTTTGGTGAAGAGAAACTTACGGGGTGGAAGACAGCCAATTCGGCAATACCAGCGGAACCTGTGAGAATCGTTTCGTCAGCGCGGCCGAGCTTTCACCTGTGTCGCAGACACGGGCGCAAAGGGCAAAAAAAAAGTGCCGTACCGGAACCCAGGAGTCGCGCGGTGTTCGACTCCTTCTCCTTTCCTCCGGCCATAGGGGGAGACATCTTAAATTTATATAAACAAAAAAGGTTATCGAAAGAGTTAAGATATCCTTAGTTGGAGATGTTCAGGCTCCGGAGGTTTGTCGTCGATTGGCACGGCGCTCGAGAGGAGGAGAGGATGGGTCGCGGGGAGCAAGACAAGTTTTCGACGACTGCTGGGAAATTTTTACTCACAGGTCACCACACTGCCCGAACTCGCAGCTTAATTTTTGGCCCTGCAAGGACAGTGACCCCTGTTCGCCGAGCGCCGGGAAGTGGAGACGGGACTAGCACGCCAGCTCTTGGTACCGCACCTAGCTCCGACCGACCCCGTCGTTGCGACGCCGACTTTCGTCACAACTGGGAATGCCTCACTATTGCACTTCAGATAGATAGTCCAGAGCTGAAAAACTCCACTGTGACTAAATCGCGACCGCCAGAGCGGCGATGCTTCGTCTTTGTTTCGGGGTATCTATCGTCTTTTCCTTACTGTAACCCTGAATATACATGTACTGATGCAAATCCTCATCTAATAGTCTCTGAACACAGACACAAGGTCATCCAGTCTCATGACATGACCGAGGAGCTTGCTCTGCAGGTCCAAGAAAGTGCTGTACTTGTTGTAGTGCTCCGCAGTCATGACCTCTTCCTCTTTACCCTTCACGTCCCGTCTTTCCACGAAAGACAGAATGTTACGCTCGCGGTATCGGTGCACCTCGAGATTTTGGAGGCATCGAAGCATCGTCTTGTAGTAGTCGTCGACGAGCTGACTCTCAATCCTCTCAATATCAAAGAACCAGAAAAACATTGTTCTTGTCGCGGTCCTGCTGGCATCTTTGGGAACTTCCTGCACATCGACGAAGCCAGCCATTTGCATTGCGAGCATTTTGCCCTGGACATCTTGCTTCTTCATGAGAGCAAGCGAAGGGAGCATCTTCTCGTCCAGCTTGCCCTTGTCACGGAGAATCCGTGTCAATCGAAGTCCATGCCTTCCGAATGACTGCTCAATAACAGCATCCACCTCCGTTTGTTTCAACCCTTCCATCAAAGGCTTGAAGTCCACCGTCCATTGTCCTCGGCCTTGACTGCCGCAGTGACGCAAGAAGCCCTGTCTGCTTTCCGCCAACAGCAGTAGATGCTGCCGCATTTGATCAAGTCTGTTGCCGCCAGGGACATCTTCGAATTTGACCTTGGTTTCTCTAGATCCCTCGCCATCATCTTCAGTATCGCTGTCGGAGCCATCTCGCCTAGTACCGTTCGTCTGTCCACGAGCAGGAGCTCGCGCGGCTCTTGGGCTTTCGTCAAATGAATCATCCGAATCATACATCAGTGGGCCTGGTGCTGCTCTGATCTTTTCGGCGCTTCTAAAGTCGATCTGATCCTGGGTGGCCTTACCAACTCCCAGAGAAACGTCAACGGAATCGTCGAGATTGTCGAGTATTTCGAGACTCGTAATAGTGACTTGTCGTGAGTTCGAGCCAGGGCCGTCACCCTCATTATCGGTGTCGATCCTTGGGTCGAGCTGACATCGAGACATTTGCTGTGTCAAGAGACGCAACGCAGTGTGGTAAACTTGGCCGGTGATTTCACCGAACGCATCGGCGGCGTACTGGGCGAGTCGCTGGTTTCGCAATTCGACTAGACACTTTTCGGTGTTGACTCTGAGAACAATGTGCGGCTATTTCAGTCAGTAAGATGCAGACTGAACATCAATGGGACAACCGACCTCGAGCTCGGAGACATCGTCTTCGTACTCCGACGCCTCCCTCTTTCCCTTACCATTCGCGAGTCTCCTTCGCTTGGTCGGGAACATGCCTCCTCGGCCGATTTGGCGCTTCAGCTTCTTGCTCTCTTCCCGAGCTTCTCGAAGACGCTTCGAAACTTCAGTCTGCATCAACTCCTTGTTGCGCGCTGTTGTTCTCTCGCCCGGGGGTGCTTTCGTAACTTCCTCCTCGATCTCCCGGTAAACGTCCTCCGGATTTCTGAACGTTTTCGGCCCGACCTGGTCCACAATCTCTGCTGCAACCAAGCGGTTCAAAATAGCGTGAATATCGACGAACGAATACGAGTGGCCATTGGTCTTCGGCTTCGGTCCATCTCCATTGGCATGGCCGTTTGTGTACTCGCCATTTATGCCTGCCCCGTTTCTCGCCTCGAAAGCTTGCGCGAGATCCGATACCCTTGCGTGTCCTAGTTGCATGATCGTCTGTACTACCTCCTGCTCGGCGGGGCCATACTCGATACCGACCATCTCGATGATCTTTCCCGTTCTGCAGAGGTTGTAACATCCATCGGGATTGGCTTCGTAGACGCCGGTCGTGTTGCTGGAATCGGATTGATGATATACAAGGCTCTGCTGCACAAGAACCGCAAGGCCGTGTCGCAGCTGACGTGGGTTCAATCCGGTGGATTGGACAAGGGTCGCGATGTTCGATCTGCCTTTGCTGAACAGGACGGCTAGAATTCGCTGATGGAACAACACATGTCAGCACGATTTGCGACGCATTGCAATGGAGTGATGCGATTGATGCACTCGCAGCAAAAATCGACGAGGACATCCTTACCGCTGGCAGCTCACCGCATATGTCGTTGACGAGGTGAGCGCAAAGCTCCACGCCGTGTTTTGTCTGAAAAAGAGGTAAGAAACGGGATTATGGCGATAGGATGCAAGGACTTACCACCAGCATTGTGAATGCGGTTCGGTTCGATCGACTCTAGAGATTCTCTCACTATCCCTAGAGCTGCAATAGAGGCTACCTAGAAGGCATTGAAATAATGCAAGGCCGGTGCTGTGGTACCTTAGGAATAGCACTCGGCTGGAAAGTGCTGATATTGCTGTCGCAGAGTGTGTCGCGTCCGGGTGACAGAGGGACTGAATAGAGTATGGAACTTTTTTTTCTGAGCGGCGGGCCACTCAAGGCGGGGTGGGGGACAAGGTCGAAGGAAAGCGCCGAGTCACCGACACAGTCATGGAGCTTGGTGGTGCCTGAGTCCCAATGGTGACTCTGATGTGGGTGTGAGTCGTGGCTAGAACTCAGGAACGGACAAGGTACTTTTAGTGCGGTGCCACACCTCGCGATGGAGGCTTATGTAAGACCCGATCTTCGTCTGCACCTAAGAAAAGAATTGCAGACGTCAATTGGCTTTGAGATGACGGGAGCTGTGTGGCTGCTGCCAGCGCCATCTGCTCACCAGCCTCATGCCGCGCAGGGTGCAGTGCTTACATAACGCAAATCTACAACGTCAAAAGCACAATAGTGGGGTCGGCGGAGGTAATCAGCCGCACGCTCATTGGCAGCTCGGGGAGAAGGCAAGTTCTTATCACGTGATTAGAAGAGTGACCCGTAGCTAACCTCGTTCGATGGATCGAAAATTGGTCGGGATTGTAACGAGGCACTTTCTGTTGAAGCTCCGAGGAATTGAGCGTCACGCAAATCGGAACTGCCAATTCACGGCAACCCCATCACCGCAATGATTTCTAGACCGACTCTTGCGAGGTCTGCGCAGCAGGCTCTCCGCAACTCGAGCTGTGCTCGCACAATCTCGGGTCGCCGCTTCGCCAGCGCCTCTGCTGGTTCCGGCGCCTTCGAGACCTCCGATGCTGCTGGTCTCAAGGTCGCTGCCAGAGAGTCTCAGGGCCCTACTACCAAGCTGGCTATCGTAGCCAAGGCCGGTACCAGATACCAGCCTCTTCCCGGTCTGGCCGCTGGTCTTGAGTCCTTTGCCTTCAAGGTATGGGTTTATTGCGAAACCACCCTTCCAACCCGTCATTGGACTTGGCAATATAGACGAAATGCGCTGACATGCTTTCCGATCGACAGAACACACTGAAGCGCTCTGGACTGCGCATTATCCGCGAATCCGAACTCCTCGGCAGCCAATTGACCGCTTACCACACCCGCGAAGCCCTTGTCCTCGAGGCCAGCTTCTTCCGCGATGACCTTCCCTACTTCACGGAACTTCTCGCCGAGGTTGTCTCTGAGACCAAGTTCACCAGTGAGAATGGCCGATATACTTGGTAAATATGCGACGTGCCTTGGCTAACGGCTGTTCTAGCGCACGAGTTCCACGAGGAGGTCCAGCCTGTCCTTCGCCTGAAGCAGTCTGGTGTCAGCGCTGCCGCCCAGGCTCTCGACAACGCCCACTCCGTCGCTTTCCACTCCGGCCTCGGCTCTCCCTTCAACCTGACGCCCTCGATTCCCATTAAGCCCTACCTGAGCGAGACCGCCGTTGCCGACTTCGCTGATGCCGCCTACGCCAAGCCCAACATTGCCCTGGTCGCCGACGGTGCTTCCGCCGCCAACGTCTCCAAGTGGGCTCAGCAGTTCTTCAAGCAGGTCCCCGCCGCCTCCTCCGGAAAGCTTTCCCTGAACTCCGCTGCCACCAAGTACTTCGGTGGTGAGTCGCGTACCTACAGCGCCAACGGCAACGCCCTGGTCATCGCCTTCCCCGGTGCCGTCAACGGCCAGGCCTCCCCCGAGCTCGCCGTTCTCGCTGCTCTGCTCGGCGGCAAGTCCAACATCAAGTGGTCCCCTGGTTTCAGCTTGATCTCCAAGGCTCTCGGCCCCGCCCCGGGCGTCTCTACTTCGACCACCAACTTCGCCTACTCTGATGCTGGCCTCCTGGCCGTTCAGCTTTCCGGATCTGCCGCCGGCATCCGCAAGGCCGCTGAGGAGACCGTCAAGGCTCTCAAGACCATCTCCGAGGGCACCGTCAGCAAGGAGGACCTGACCAAGGCTATTGCCAAGGCTAAGTTCGAGGCTCTGGAGGCCACCGAGAAGCGCAGCGGCAGCATTCTGCTCGCCGGCTCTGGCCTCGTCCACAGCGGCAAGGCTATCGACGCTGCTGAGTCCGCCAAGTCCGTCGAGTCTGTTACGGCTGAGAAGCTCAAGGCGGTAAGCGCACCCGCAGCCCAACTGATTGTATGTATGACTTTGAGACTAACAAAATCCTTAGGCGGCGAAGACGATTCTGGATGGCAAGGCTAGTGTTGCTGCGGTTGGTGATCTGTACGCTCTGCCGTA